GGGGGACATCGGGGACAGTGGGGACACGGGGGACATCGGGGACAGTGGGGACATCGGGGTCAGTGGGGACACAGGGGACATCGGGGTCAGTGGGGACATGGGGGACATCGGGGTCAGTGGTGACATTGGGGACATTGGGAGCCTCGGGAACATGGGGGACATTGGGGTCATGGGGTCATTGGGGACATCAGGGACATGGGGGTAATTGGGGATATTGGGGTCATTGGGGTCACTGGGGACATGGGGACCATTAGGGACATCGAGGTGATTTGGGACATTGGGGCCACTGGGGGTCATTGGGGGTCTGGGACAATGCGGGGACAGGGATGGGGGTACTCAGGGACTGGGGGTCACGAACAGCCAGGGGAGGAAGAATTTGGGGTTCAGAGATTCGGGATCAGGAATGGGGGGTCAGGAATAGGGGGAGGGGTCAGAGATTTGGGGTCAGAGATTCGGGGTCAGGAGTGGGGGGTCAGGCAGGGGGGACCCCGGGGTCAGTGCCAGCCCCCGAGGGGGGCTCCCCCCACTCACGAGCTCGTCCTCCAGGTCCCTGCGGAACTGGTGCAGCTCCCTGGCGGCCGCGAGGCTCCGCCCGCGCTGGGAGGGGTCAGAGATTTGGGGTCAGAGATTTGGGGTCAGAGATTCGGGGTCTGCGTCTCCAGGTCAGGAATGGGGGTTTAGGAATAGGGGGAGGGGTCAGAGATTGTCAGAGATTCGGGGTCAGGAATGGGGGGTCAGGCAGGGGGGACCCCGGGGTCAGTGCCAGCCCCCGAGGGGGGCTCCCCCCACTCACGAGCTCGTCCTCCAGGTCCCTGCGGAACTGGTGCAGCTCCCTGGCGGCCGCGAGGCTCCGCCCGCGCTCCCGCAGCGGCTCCCGCAGCTCCCGGAACTGCTGCTCCAGCTCCCGCACCTGCTCCTGCACCCCCGCGCTCCGGGGGTGCCCCGGGCTGAGCCCCCCGGCCTGCGCCCGCAGCGCCCCCACCTCCTGCTCCCGCAGCGCCGCCTGCGTCTCCAGCAGCTGCGGGGGTTTGGGGGGTCAGGGACCCCCAGGGGACCCCAAAATCTGCACCCCAAAGAGCCCCCCCCTCCTGCTCCCGCAGCGCCGCCTGCGTCTCCAGCAGCTGCGGGGGTTTGGGGAGTCAGGGACCCCCAGGGGACCCCAAAATCCGCACCCCAAAGAGCCCCCACCTCCTGCTCCCGCAGCGCCGCCTGCGTCTCCAGCAGCTGTGAGGTTTGGGGGGGTCAGGGAACCCCCAAAATCTGCACCCAAAAACCTGAACTCTAAAAGCCACAGCCAAATCCTGCATCAGACCTGCACCCCAAATCTGCATCACAAAACGTGTGCCCAAAAACCCGAACCCCAAAACTTGAACCCAAATCCTGCATCACGAACTTTCACCCCAAAACCTGAGCAGCCCAAAATCTGCACCCTAAACCTTCACCCCAAAACCGGAGCACCCCAAAATCAGCACCCTAAACCCTCACCCCAAAACCGGAGCACCCCAAAATCAGCGCCCTAAACCTTCACACAAAACCTGAGCACTCCACATCCTGCATCACAAACCTGCACCAAAACCTGACCACCCCAAAATCTGCACTCTAAACCTTCACCCCAAAATCTGCACCCTAAACCTTGACCCCAAAGCTGCTTATCCCAAACCCGCATCCCAGACCCACCCAAAACCCACACCCCAAACCAGTACCCAAACCCCACACCCCAAACCTTCACCCCAAAACCTTCACCCCATCCCCCAC